CTCCCTCCCGCCCCTGCTTGCTCCGCTCCCAGCCCCTGGCAGGCTCACGTGCACCCGCGGGCTTTGGTTTTCCCGCGGCGCCGGGATGTCAAGGCTGAAGCGGCGCCTCTGACCGCCCGCTGGCTCCGGAACAGACCCAAACACGCCCGAGCGGAGCCGCCCGCGGTGGTAGCCTGGGCGGTGGTTTCCTTAGCCGCCCGCCCACTCGGCCTCCCTAGCTGCCACCCTACCTCCTTCCGTTAAGGACGCTGGGCTGGCAGCGGCCCCACGCTGCGATCACTGTCGCCGTGGCTGACGCGGGGGCCCGGCCTTTTGGGCTTTCACCCGCCCCAGCCCTGGGAGGGAGACCGCGGGCTGCCGCACGCCGCGGTTCGGGCCGCGCGTCTGTCCCCGCAGCTGCACAGCTCCCAGCCCGCGAGCAGTCCCGCGTGTGCCTGCCGCTCTCTGGACCTCAGTGAGCCGGGCGCCTGGAGCTGCTGACCCCTGTCGGTTGCGTTGCATTTCGAACAGCCCATGTATTTCATTGGGGAGTTCTGGAATAGGCTATGTTGGCAGGCTGGACACCCATAAACACACATGTAGGATTTCTTTGTTTTATAGGTAATCATAGTCCTAATGGTGATCGGGGTGTAACTTTACCGTCTGTGCCGGTGGATCGCCTTACAGTGTACGCGTGCTTTGCGGTGAGGTGTTAGTCCACTTGGAACACCGTATAGGTATGTAGGGAAGGGCACTCGCCTGTGGATTAGAGCATCATTAGGAGAGCACAGCAACCTAGTAGGAATTAGTATTCCCTTTTTTGCCAAGTGAGAACCAGATTAAATACTTTGACCAAAGTTAACATCAGGATTCAAATCTCAAGGTGTTTGTTACTCATTCTTTTTCAAGTTTGCTCCATGTGAAATGACAGACTCCTTCTGGCACGTCTGAAAAATGTTAAGGCAGTGGTTTCCAGTAGCAAATGTCTTCTTGCCTGATACCTAAGGCAGTTGTGATTATTGCTGTTAACTGTTGCTACTGGTGCCTTAAAAAAAAGCTGTTTAGGAATGATTTAAGATTTACAGAAAAGCTGCAAGACAGGACACAGTTTCACTGGTATTCAGTACAGTGGCTACACTTAAACAAAATTAGTTCCTGCTCTATTCCGGACATCGTTCTAGGTGCGGGAGAGAGTGACACCCTGCTCTAGATGATTTCTAGGTCTGGTTGAGGAGACAGATACACGAAGAGGATGCCTCTTGAAAGTGCTGAAATGGAGATACAGGAGCACAGAGGACAGTGTGTCTGATTGCTTGAAAGGAGTGATGAGAGCTTGCAGGATACTTGTTTGAATCTCAAGAATCAGTGGGTATTCATTTGATTGATGGGACATTTTCCCCAACATTCAACCTTATTAAGTTTGTTTTCTTCCAGGAGAACTCTCTGACCTTCTAAATTGATTCCCCCCATCTCTGAGATTCGTTTTGCAAGTTGTGAGAAGAATCCCAGTTTATAAATCTATGAGAAGGAGATTAAATGAAACTTAATGTTTCTTAGGCAGTAATGGAAATTTCTAGATCTATGCCTTTTTAAGTTCTTTATTTTTCATACTTGTTAAATGCTTTTTGTGGTTGGGTCACACATATTGTTTACGGAGAGGAGCACAGTTCGGAACTATGATTTGGGTTAAATTCCCACACCAGAGGGGACATTTGAGTGTGTGTCTTAGTCAGCTTGGGTTACTGTAACTAAATACCATAGCCTGGGTGGCTGAGAAAGCAGACATTTGTTTCTCACAGTTCTGGAGGTTGAAAAGTCTAAGATCAAGGTGCAGCTTCCTAGTGAGGGCTCTTCCCGCCTTGCAGATGACACCTACTTGCTGTGTCCTCACATGCCAGAGAGCAAGAGAGAACTGTGGTCTGTCTGTCGCTCATAAGGATACTGATCCCATCTTTGGGAGCCAACCCTCAATGACCTCATGTAAACCTAATTACTCCCAAAGGCCCCACCTCAAAGACCATCACATTGGGAATTAGGACTGCAACATATGACTTTTGAGTCTGTGGTAGATGGGTTTCTTGGAATTTTTGTTATGTGTAATGAATTCCTCCAAAATAGACTTGATAGAGAACTAAATAGGAAACTGTGAAATTAGCATTATATGGCTTTTACTAAAGAAAACACAATTTTTTTTATTTTAGAGTTATTAAATAAGATTCAGAAACCAGTGGATGAAGAAATTTTGTTTCATTTTAACAAAAGAAATAAGTGGTGACGCACAGTGGTGCTCTTTTCACTTTTAGGCCTCATAGGAGTGAATGCCCTCACAGAGTTATCAATGAGGGCATGAGGACTGGCGTTGATCTATTACAGTTCCCTCATTGTCTGATAGAGAGGCTGAGCTCCACAGAAGCTAAGTGACAAATCTATCCCAGAGATTAGTGGCAGAGCAAGGATTAGAATCTGGCCTGCTGATTTGCTGTCTGGCGTTCTGTTCTTTCCTCACTGATTCTCAAACTTATAGTGCTTCAGGGTCACCTTGGGGGCTTGTGAAAAGAGGGTCCTGACAGAGGTTCATTCAGTAGTCTGGGCTGGGACTGAGAATTTGCATTTCTGACAAGTTCCTGAATTCTGTTGAAGCTGCTGGCTCTGAGACCACACTTTGAAAAACGTAGTCTCACACATCATTTTTGATCTAAGAAGAGAGTAAGTAAACCTTCATGGGTCTATGCCAGCCTAACCTTTTCCCTGGTACTCAGAGATTCACATTTTTATTTCTTTTTTCCTTTTTAAATATATTTTTATTGCTTTCAGAGAGGAAAGGAGAGAGAGAGAGAGAGAGAGAGAGAGAGAGAGAAATGTCGATGATGAGGGAGAATCATCGGTTGGCTGCCTCTTGCACGCCCCTACTGGGGATCCAGCCGGCAATCTGGGCATGTGCCCTTGACCGTAATCGAACGCGGGACCCTTCTGTCCTCAGGCTGACGCTCTATGCACTGAGTTAAACCGGCCAGGGCTGAGATTCACATTTTTAAATTTTGAGTTACAAACAATGCACCAATATCAAAATGCTTAGATGAAAAAAGGACTAGAAATGGATTGTCAGAGCGAGTCATTTTCAAGGATAATTTTTGTAGATAATTTTAGAGGTCAGAACATGTTATTGTTGAAGGGGACACACTTGAGCTGTCAGGGTCCTCAGTCTTATCAACACTGACAGTAAAGAGGGTGTTTTCAGATCGATTGCCAGATTGTTTAGCAGTGAACATCAATTACTTCCAGTTTTGTTACATGATGCATTTCTCTGTTATCTTGTGTGTTAAAACAGAGATCCTTTCTTATATATCAAAATCTCATGAGGCCCTAGCACAGTTACATGCCCATAGTAGATGTTAAATAAATGAAAGTTGAATTCAATTAAAAAAGAGTAAGGGGGGGAAATAAGGTAGTTTATTTATTTGGAGAGATTTCAGTGCCCTAGGAAAGTTACTCTGTTTTCTAGTTATCCCAATTGCAGGTTTTTATTGAATAAAAATTCCAACTTAAGCCTCATCTGTAATTATTGGAATTTTTTTAGTACAATTACTGGAGGAGATAATATATTTTTATGTTAGAGTTAATAAGTGGTATCCTATACTTTTTAAAAAAATCATTCATCTGAAATGATTTTTAAAAACTTTTTACTTTGAAATAATTTTAGAATTACAAAAGGGTTGCAAAAATAGTCCAGGGAGTTGATATATACCTTTCAACCTGCCCCCTTTGTTAACATCTTCTGTAACCATAGTGTAGTCATTGAGACCAGGCGGTTGATAATTAAAGTCTTCATTCGAGTTTCACCACTGCTGTCCTTTTTCTGATCCAGGATCCAAACCAGTATTAGTTATCATGTCTATTAGTGTCTTCTAGGTGACAGTTCCTTTCAGATTTCTTTATCTTTCAGGACCTTTTGAAGAGTACTGGTCAGTTATTGTGTAGAATGTTCCTTGGTTTGGATTTGCCTGATCTTCATTATTAAGTTGAGGGTTAAGCATTTTTGGCAAGAATGCCACAGTGGTGAGTTTGTGCCCATCTCTGTTATTGTATTGGGATGCACATGTATCATTGGTTGATCTCTTGGTAGAGGTGGTGTCTGACATCCTTCTGTGCTCTAAAGTGAAAAATTTTCCTGTTGTAATTAATGAGCCTCATAACTTCACTGATTTTGGTGCAGAAGTTTAAAAGAAATGAACATATAATGTTAGAATCCCTGGTGTGTGACCCTAACTGTGAACTATTTCTTTTGTAGGGAGACTTCATTATTTGTCAGACCCAAGTACGTATAGCAGAGGAGGGTAAAGAAATAGGCACTGGGTCAACAGTTATTTGTCAACTTGGTTTTGAATTGGAAGCAATGGAAACTGTTTGCCCCAATTCTTTTGCCGTGGTTCTGCAATGTCTCACATCCGTCTTCCAGGGTATAGCTTTCCATAACTGAATTTCTTAAAATTCACAGCTTTTCTTAAAATTTGTAGAAGATGAATACCCTTCAGTTCTTAGGCAGTTGCGTAAGGAGTTGCTTATCCACTCGCTAGTCCGTAGAGCTGGGTGTGTTCTCTTTGTAGGCCATGCTGATGGAATGTGAGATTATTACATATATACACATATAAATTGTCTCTCTTTCAATATGCTTGTGCCTTTAATATCCCAACCAGAGTAAATTGGAAGATATTAATTCTGTTCTATCTCCCTCGCAAGCTCTTAAGCTCCTTGGAGGCAGGGGACAGATCTTTTTGTTTACCAATGAGTTGCTTGGTACCTGGCACACACAAAGCACTCAATAAATGTTTGTGAATAAATGAATATCATGTGTCTGTTTTGTTACTTGCTTTTATAAGTTTCCTGAATATTGTGAATACCTTCCCACAGTAACACTGCAGTGTACTCTGCAGGGCATTGAGTCTGCAATGTGCCACAGCAGCTACATCGCTAACCCATCCTGCACTGTTGGGTATTAGCTTGTTTCCAGTTTGTTCTCTTATAAAGAGTTCTGTGGTGAATATATGAAACACATTTTATCCAGTTATTTCCTTAAGATAAATTCTGTGAAGATTCATTGATAGCTCAAAGAAGATACATGTAAGGCTTTTGATACAGATATTGCAAAATTACTCTCTGGAAAGGTTGTATAGATTTATAGCTCAACCACACTACCCAGTGCTTACCGGTCTTATTATTATTATTTTTTAGAATAAGACTAAATTATGGGTTTTTA